AAGACCGGGCTCGCGGGCGGAAGGAGGGGTCTGACGTACCAACGGGGATCGTGATGTTGTCGTTGGACTGAACCCAGATCTTGGCGTCTTTCTTCTCGGTGGCCATTTTGTTTGGTAAGATGGGTAGCTGTGATGTAGAATATCTTGGAGCGGTCAGCTTGGAAGTGGTCGACAGCGATGGTTGACTGGTGGTGATTGATTGAAGGATTGAAGTTGATTCTGGAGGATGGTGGGGGAAAGTAGAAGTCGATCGGCGGGGAAGGAAGGCGTGGGAGTCGGGACTATATAGGCCTTACGTTTATGATTCGGAGATAGAATGAGAAGGTGAAGATTTTGAATGCGACAGGCGACAGTCGTTTGATTGGAGAAAGGCGAACAAACGAAGCAGTGAATAAGTGATCGGAAATGGCTTTTGTTGCGTCAGACGTTAGGTTAGATGGTTTTGAGGGTCGGGGCGGCCAGGCGGCTGTTGGTTGTGGAGAAGTGGGAAGGCGAGAGCGTCGCTACCCGTAGGAGTTGAGGGAGCAGGCAGAGGTGAAGGCCGGCAGGTGCTTTGATTGGTTCAAAGCGGCGTGACCTGTTTGTGCTCATGGGTCTCTACATCTGTTGCCTGGAGAAATTTATATGGCTCGAGGTACCTGCCCTTTGGTGCCTTTCAGTAGGTAGGTAAGGTAGGTAGGTAGGCCCCAATGGTGTCGATGGACCCGCAAAGGCACAGCACCTCAGTGGACCTGACCTGGAAAAGAACAATCTCCTCTTGTCCAACCTGCCCGGAACACAAGAGAAAAGAGAATGTCACGCAAGAAGGGCCTGAGGCAGAAGCTTCCTGGCGGTATTGAATTACCTTGCAGAAAACAGTCTCGGTGACTCTTCGCCGAATGCAACTCACCTTTGTGCGCAAGAGCACAGCTGGCTCCCTTATGTAAGCTAAGACAAAGAGATGTTGTCAGCTTGTACAGATATTGTCCCCTTCCCTCTCTGTTCGGGGGCATGATGTATGAGGGAAGAGAAATAGCATCAGCAGCAAAATTCAAGAGTCAAGAAGATGTATCAAGTTGTTCCTTGTTGCAGCGTGTGCTGCTACCTATGTTCTTGTTGGCCCAGGGCATAATCCGATGTATGTAGCCCGAAAGACTCCTTTCGAGCTAATTCAAGACAACCCTAGGCACCTTAGGTAAGCTTCAGCCTTTGCCTCATTTTCGAGAGGGCCCAGGCACCCGCGGAGGTGATGCCCAGTGGAAGAGTTCTCACACAAAGGCATCACTTCAAATGGGTATTCTGGTTTCGTCTATGGAAAAGGAAAAGAAAAGGGGGGGGGAGAGAATTCGCTATAGCTGCACGTAAGGAAACAATTTTTCGTGTTCCCTCGGGTTTTTACCCTAAGCCAGTGTCTTTGCTGTGAGGCCAAGGTACCTTATATAGACGAAGCTCAACTTGAGATTTTGAGCCAGCCTAAATTCCGGACCTTGATGCTGATCAAAAGGGACGAACTTGGACGGTCGATGGAGATAACTTAAAATAGGAGAAACGGCGGTAAGTATTCGGGGTGAAAGCGAGCCTGATAGATCTATATACCATCCCATGACCTCTGAGGCGATACCTGCTGAGGGTGACTCGTGATCAAGGATGCTAGATTCGGCCAAGCATCGTTCTTCTATCCCACTCTGCCATGCTCAGAAAGAAAGACAACCAGTACAATCCGAATCTCGGCGCAGAGAAGACCATGGGGTATAAGATTCGGACTTTGGTGCAATCCGAAGTGATACCTCTGTGCAACAGATTGCAGTTCCTTGGCATCCCTCCGTCCTTGGTAGACGGCAGTTTTCGGAGCCGGACAGACGATTAATGCAGGTATACCTTACTCGGACAAGAACCTCGTCGCCGCTAAGCTAAAGCCCGGCCGAAGAGCCCGGCAAGGCAGAACCGGGGGCGGCGGAGACGGCCGGCAAGGTAACGTCAGCGTCTATTTCTGCGAGTGCCGTATCTGCGGCGACAAGCACCTCCTTTTGCCAACGGTTGCATTGTGAATAACATGCTTCTCGGTGGATGGCTTCGAATCTAAGCCACTTACGGGCCAATGCTTGCTAACGGCGTCTGGTGCCTACTTTGCCCGTGATATTTCTTGTTTTCTCTGTCTCGGTTCGTGAAGCGAGCGGCTAGGTTTGCCTTCACCGCTTAGTGACCAGAAAGGCTTCAACTTATACAAAAAAAAACGATCGTAGATAAGCTCTCGTACCGAAGGAAATGTCCGATAAGAATCTGGAGCTGGCCAGGGTGTGGACACGAAAAGACAGGGCCGATGGCGAAAGCGAGCTGCAAGCACTTTACGAAGTCTGTCTTCTCCACGGATCTGAACCCCCGCGACGCGCGAGCAGGGCCACGCCAATCTGATGGTGCGAGACACTGAAGATGGTGGCATATGGTCTAGCATTCCTGGTCCTCTGATTTATACAGAGTAAGTCGGATGAATAGTAATAGTACTCTGCAAGTTGTTTTGCTTGCTAACGTAAGTAAGAGCCCAATTTCTCGAAACAGGGCAAAGTGTGGAATGCATCAATGATGACTGGGCCGGTTTCATGAGGACGCGCCAGTGGGAGTGGGCGGCGCGCCTGCGTCCGTGAAATTTAATGATTTGCAGTCCATAGCGCCGGATGTTGATGGGGCCCGCGATCCCGAAGTTTCCGTCGACGGACCAAAGGCGCGAACGCGACTACGACCGCGGATGCGCAGATGGCGTCCCGGGATTGGCATCATTACGTTCGTCTGATATCAATATCGGCCTTTTTCACCAGACGAACGGACAGAGCTTTGGAGACGGGTGGTATGGCTTTGTTTGATGCGACTCCTCCGGAGACGTGTTGGAGACAAGTACACCAACTGGCAGAAAGTCAAAAGTTAGCAAGTTATTGACAGGCGGCACCCATGCTGGACGGATGGGAAATGATGCATAATGACAGCAAGACATGATGGATAGACGTGGTTCGAGAAACCTGCTGACTGGGTCGGTGTTATTTGGTTGGTTGTCCGGGAAAAAGGGGTGGTGTCCCCTGGCGAGGGTTTGGAGCAGTGGACGAAGAGGACGGAAGAATTAGAAGCTTTGGATGGGGCCACCTCGCTCACAATACACGTACTGGACACCTGCCAGGTAGGTATGTAGCGATGGCCCTATGAGCCACGATGGCAGTGGCATGCACCCTCCCAGTCCCAGGTGCTGGCCGGTGGCAGTCTGCCTTGCCCGTTTTGGGGGTTAGCGCTCCCAACTGAAGGCCCCAGCGAGAAGAGCTTGGCAGGGAACAGGGGGCCGTTGCAGCGGACTCGGGAGGGCACACCCCTCCAGAAGTCGGGCTCGGTTTTCTTTTCTTCTTTGATTTCTGCCAGCCAGCAACCATATCGCGGACTCGTGCGTCACGCTCCGCTTCACCGTGGGACGGGAAGGTTGGGTGTGTCGGGAGCTGGTTTGGCGATCCCTGAACCTGAGGTGTGATGGGTGAATAAGCATTCCATTCTCCCAGGCGTGGCAGGAAGGTACCTCCTTATTCGTACGGATACCTTACCTGCCTTACACCGGGTAAGAAGGTACGAGTACAGTTGGGAAAGGAAAGGAAAGGAACAAACATACGACGGGAGCTGCCAGTTGCAACTGCCAACAACCTGGGAGGAAATGACAATCGTCCACCCGCCTTACCTCCCCGGTCCTTAGACTCTCCCGTCATTGGAGCTCCCAACCTTGACACCTCCCTCCTTGAGTCCCCTTCCTTCCTTCCATCCATCCATCCATCCCTTCTCCTCCCATCTCCTGCCACTTACCAAGTTACCAAGTTACCAACTAAGGTAGGTACGTAGCACTCAGCAGACCTCACTTCACAGTCACACCCTGAGCTCATCTCATCTCACCTGGCTCCTCTGGTGGGAACTTGCAAAGGCAAGAAATCAAACAACAAGTGCCCCAAGCACCAAACAGAAGCAAGAGCAGCCTCAGCAGGGGCGATGTGCCCGCTAAAGTAGTCTCAGAGATTGCGGATACACCCTCATATGGATAGTTCTGGGCCTATTGCTCGGGAACCGCTCCTTACACTGCTTACAAAATACACGTACCGACCAGGTTGTAAGAGCAAGGTCATCTCTTCTCCATTCTCAGTCACCCTGCAAAGTCCCCTCCAAGGTCCAAAAGAGCTGCGGTGCGGGTGCGGATGCGGGTGCGGGCTGACAGAGCGTGGGAACGACACTCAGTCACTTTCTCGACCCGAGTCCGCGCAAAAAAAATATCCTGACCATCACCCTACCTGACCTTACCTGACTTTGGACTTATTTACCTGGCCTTGCCTTGCTTGAGTCGCACCTCGACCTGCGCACCTCTTTTCTTTTCCCTTTGCTTCTCTCCCACCCCCCTCACCGGGCCTCACCTTGCAAATAGTAATCTTTTCCCTTCTTTGTTACCATCCTACTTCTTGCCTTTACTTTACTTCACTCCCACCTCTCCCTCCTTGACCTCTGCTGCGCCCGGTAAACCATCACATACCTGGCTCCTGTACATGCGCCTCTCCTCCTGATGATGCGACGTTGCGACATACACTCCTTTTCGCAACGAACCTCCCGCCGACCTTGCTCCGCCTAATACTCGACACCCGGCTACTTCCAGCCCTCGATCACGAACCGATGCCCGAGCTACGCGCAGCAACTACCACCAGATAATAATCGAGAGCACCTGGAGTCATGTGGCGGAGAGCGTACTTGTTTTTGGTGCTGGTTCGGCTGTGGTTCGCCCTGTCGCCCAGCTACCTGCACCCCGACGAGAATTTCCAGGGCCCAGAGGTCATCGCAGGTATGTTTGGCTTGTTTTGCTGCTGCTGCATCCCGTTGCCTGGGTAGAGCGTGCGCAGCTCTCGGTTTGGCGCCATGGAGCTTCCTCCCTCATAGCTCGGATTGAGTTTAGGCGCTCGTTCTCGTTCAACAGGACCTAGACTAACGGCGTGGCGCAGGCCAAATCTTTAGTTACCCAGTACGGCACACATGGGAATTCACAAACGAGCACCCGATACGAAGCGTCTTCCCCTTATGGCCCGTCTACGGCCTGCCCATGATGTTGCTGAGATGGCTGTGGATCGGAAACGGCAAGGATGGCGAGATTCCCCCAATCGCAGTCTTTTGGACACTTCGCGTCCTCATGTTCGTCACCAGCTTTGTGCTGGAGGATTGGGCCATCCATGAGCTCATCAGCTCTCCACGACACCGTCGCGTTGCTGTGCTCCTGGTCGCCTCGTCCTATGTCACATGGACGTACCAGACGCACACGTTCTCCAACTCGGTCGAGTGTCTCGTTGTTGCTTGGTGCTTGGTCTTGATTCAGCGCATTGTCGAGAGCCCGGTAAGGACCCCCTTGGCACGATTTTGTGGGCACCAACATGTGAATGCTAACGCTTGTGACAGCAACAATCATCGCTTCTTGCTTCTACGATTCTCGGCATAGTGGCCGTCTTTGGACTGTTTAATAGAATTACTTTCCCGGCGTTCTTGTTAATTCCGGGCCTTCGCTTGATACCCCATTTTCTCAATAGGTACGACCGCCTAGGCACCATGACATCAGGGGACCGCCCACTAACAACCCACCAGACCCATGTCCTTCACCGTGATGGTGTTGGCAGCTCTCACGACTACCTTGGTCGCCATCACCCTGGATACGGCATTTTACCTCCCTGAACCCATCAAGTGGGCAGACCTCATCTCACGGCCAGTCATCACGCCACTTAACAACCTCATGTACAACATCGACACAGACAACCTTGCGCAGCATGGGTTGCACCCTTGGTACCAGCACCTACTGGTCAATATTCCCATGCTGATAGGCCCAGCTGCAATGTTGCTCTTCACTCAGCCATACCTCTCATTACGACTCTACTCGGCCATCTCTGGTGTCTTTGTGTTGTCTATCTTCCAGCACCAGGAAGCTCGATTCCTCCTCCCGACTGTTCCGCTCATCCTCTCGTCAGTTCACGTCCCCAAGAATCGGACTGTCCTTCGTGTGTGGATCGGAGTGTGGCTTGCTTTCAACTTGATCTTTGGCATCCTAATGGGCGTCTACCACCAAGGCGGTATCGTGCCGGGCCAGGTATTCTTGAGCAAGCAGCCAGACGCGACGCAGGCCGTCTGGTGGAAGACGTATACGCCACCTATTTGGCTTCTCAACGGCAAGAATGAGGTGCTCACGACGCGCGACGTGATGGGTATGAAGGGTGACACGCTCCTGGAGGAGCTGACCAAGCTGGCGACCTGCGACACGCCAGCGGATCGACGCAACTCGGAGTATTTGAAGGAGAAGAACGGAACATATCTGATCGCACCAGCATCAGCGACGTGGATAGACCCCTACCTTCCCAACAAGGGACTGAAAGGCTTACGGTTTCGCGAGGTATGGCGTTACAGGCAACACTTGAACCTAGACGATCTCGACTTTGGTGACGACGGCATCTGGAACACCCTGACGAGGGTGATTGGCAGACGTGGTCTTGTCGCCTGGCGTGTGACGAAGAGTTGCAAGTGAGGTTGGGCCGTGGAGGAGACTTAAGAGCAATGAATAAAAAGACCTGAACGTTTTGATGATTGAAAAGGATTCGATTTTTCGAAAGCAAATGGTATCGTGACTATGTGATGTGGTCCTCCTTTGTCCCTGATTGTGACCAACACACCTAAATATCTCGAGCGCCGTACCGATGGCGCCAATTTTCATTTCATTACACAAAGTCTCTTTGTTGTAAGACCTGTTACGTTCGTTAGGGAGCTCCCTCAGTTCCGATTTCATCCCATCATCTGCGAACAGAAACCTATAGCGCATACCGAGCGCTTCGTTGGACGCCCGACAGACCTCGTCGAGTCCGCCGGCATTTATCCAGCTATCATGCCGACGAACACCTCACCCAAGATGAGTCCATTTTTGTTGTCTGTTAAGAAAGCGTTAGGTACGATGGTGATGTACCGTAAACGCCCAATAACCCCAAGACGCAGCTGGAAGGACGAAGATAAGCAGCACCCCCCGCATCCCCCCCTTCCTTCCCCCCTGGGCAGCTTCACGCCGCCGCGCTCGTCTTATTCACATCCACAGCGAAATACCAATTCCCCGACACGTTCATCGTACCCAGCTTACTCTTCATCCAACAGACGTGGTTACCGTAGTAATCGCCCCAACCCGCGCCGACGCAGTCGTCGCCCTTGGACGCGCAGAGGTCGATGCAGGCGGCCATGGTGGTTGCGTTTTCCGAGGTGAGGTCGGTGGCGCCGTCGGCCGAGTTGAAGTCGTGGCCGCAGATCATACGGAAGGTGCGTTTGGGCGCGTCGGGGGAGCTGTAGGTTACGTTATCTGCGGCGGGGCAGGTGATTGTTGCGTTTGCGGTTGATGTTGCTGGGGTTGTTGTTGTTGAGTTGCTGGTTTGGGGTGTTAGTTTCCGTGAGAATCGGGTATTATGTGATTCATTTGAGAAAGATGAAATCAAAAAAGGCAAAGGGGAGCAAGCAAATGAGATGAAAAACAATGTTGGTTTGTGGAAAAAAGACAAAAGTGAACAAACGTACCCTGACGAAGACTTGGAACCATCCTTCTTCATCGCCAACCCAACCCCGAGACCGACGGCGATGGCGGCCACGACGATGACTATAGCGACGCCCATGACGATGTAGCACACCTTCCTACGCATTCCGCACACCGTGGCCTTTTTGCCCTTCCCGGACCCGTCTCCGTCGAGAGATCCGGACCCGTACCCCGGCGACCCCGGCGGCGGCTGGTGATACCCCGGCTGATGCTGCTGGCCCGCGGCGGCATAGTAATACGGCGCCGCGGAGGCGACGGACGGCGAGGACGAGACCTCGAGGTTGGGGTTCTGCTTGTGGTAGTGGTGCCACGATAACGGGTCGTCCGCGACCTCGGGGAAGGTTGTGGTTTTGGCTTCCGAGTGGTTGTAGGGGGATACCTCGGGCAGGTGGATGTCGTTGTTTGTGCGGTTCCAGGCGTTTGGCTCGGCTACTTCGAGGCCGGATTCGTAGACCTGCTGGTTTTGGTACTGTGGGTTTGATGTAGCGGGTGATGAGGTTGCGGCTGTGTTTGTGGTGTTTGTTGGGGCCGTCATTTTGAGAAACTTCTCGGATGCCCTTGGCCTTGGGCCCTCCATGGCCGATTCCCCCTTCTCCTCGAGAGAGGAGGACTATTATGGGGTTTTTGTTTCTCAGTGTCCTCCGACGCTCTGTCTCCTCTTAGCTCCGTCCAGGCTCCAGCTTACTGCGCCTCCCTCTGCGTGTGAGATTCCCTCGCTCTTTTTTGCAATATGTCTGCCTGGATCCCTCAGTCGAGAGGCAGGTAGTTCTCTTGGACGTCAAAGTGAAGGAACTTTGGTGAAACAAAACCCCACAGCTTGTGAGTGATGCGTGTTCGCCAAGAGATATCCGTATGATGCGAATAGGTTAGGGACCCCCTTTTGTTTGCGGAGAAGACAACCGAGTCCAGCCAAGTGCGTGAGCCAGGGTATTGTAGGACGGAAGTGTGGAAGAGGTGGAAGAATGGAGATGGAAGAATAAGCAGGAAGAGCGAAAGGGGAGAAGCGCCAAAAGGAAAGGAAAACGGGAGAGGGCTGCCGGCATACAAATTAAACCCCAGGAGTCTGGAGGAGCCAGAAACGATGGAGGTAAGCACTGTAAGTCAGACCAAAAAAAGCAAAAAACGGGCCGGCGAGGAACTACCTTACAGGCTACCTATGTCCACAGTCCTGCTGGTGTACTGAATCCCCCTGCTTGGGGGGCAAGCTTATAGTTTAATACGACGGGTTTGGCGCGGTTCTCTCTCCTCTCAGCCCCGGGGGTTTGTGCCTTATTCGGGATAGCTTGGCAAATCGGCTGGCCTGGTTGCCGAGTCCTCCTTGTATGTATCCGTACGGGCTGAAGAGGGTGTGGGGGGGTTTTTTTCCCACGCAGGCCGTGGGATGTGTGATCGATGTAGAACGGGGTATGATCTACGGTCGATACGCGCTGTATCTTAACGAGAGCAAAATCAAGGCTGACCCTGATTCCTGACCCTCGAACGTGCAGTGAAAGCTGAAAGTTTGTCACCTCGCTCAGTTCTCGCGTGTATGGCTTATTGCCGAGCTTGGTGGGACGGGTAACTGAATCGACCGAACCGGCCGGATCATGTCAGCGCGCGTGGGAAGGAGTTTCGCGCTTGCTAGTCACCTACTTAGTTTCTCACTGTCTCACTACTTTGCTCATTTATTATTGCCTGCCGCTACGGTCTACTGCTTTTCACCTTTTACCTCACAAGGCGTTTACTCGCCCACGGGCCTCCCCTTTTTCAGCCCCGTTTGTCAGCCACCAGCAACGGGTCTAACGACTCCCGGGAAAGCGCGCGTTGAGCGTGGAGAGACAGAGTCAAGAACGGGGCACACAGGGCACAGAGGGCTATTAGCGCGGGGGAGGAGGAAGCTTGGCGGGATTGTTTGGAGGTTCGAGAATAACGCCCTTTCTTTCCAATGAGATCCCCTCTCTTTCAGGATGAAGCAGAAGACGAGGGCATGAGAGTCGTCCCCGAATCCCCGTCTTTGGACGTAGTGTACCAATCCTCCAGCGCTCCGCATCTCATTTGCGGGAAGATTGGAGGCCACTGGGCAGCGTAACGTCGTCTTGACGGTGGGGAACGGTTGCATTGCAGACAAAGTGGTTTTGAAGAGAAGAAGCTGGGCCAAATCATGTCGCAGGGAAAACGACTGAAATGCTATAACAAGAGAAAAGACGACCCTATCTGCCTGCCACTCCTCCCAAGTATGCATTATCCAAGGGGATTTCTTCATGGAAGCGAACCAGCCAATTGGACGCCTAGGTTATGCGAGTTGTATGGGAGAGTGCGATACGGTTGGCTTGGCGAACGAGCTTGAACTTTTGGGCGAGAAATGTCCCCCTGTAAGTTGCAGGTCAGCGTTCCATCGCAGGGGGGGTTGAAGGAGGGGGGAGAGTCTGGAAGAGGGCGAAAGGTGAAATGGGTCTGGAGTTCTGGACCCTCTCTCTTCTCGTAGCGCTCGATTTGGTCAATTATTCGAGGTCGATTGTCGGGCTGTGCCTCCCGTCCGCGTTCCATTAGACTGGCTGCGGTACGGGATACAATGGGTAGCTCAAATGTCGCTCATGATGTAATATAGCTGGGGTAGCAGGCTTATCGATCCCGATGAATCCAGTTGGCGACCGCCCATGGAAGTTTGTGAACATTTTTGGGAGTTTGATTTATTGCCTATGACAAGCGTCACAAGGCAGTCCTGGAATTATACACTCATCGATTGTTATTCATCCGAAATTCGTGCCAAGCGATGAGTAACAATTCAGGGTGAAATCAAACTCAAGACGGCTGATGAGATGAGCAAATGGTCTGTCAGCCCTAGTAAAGTTTATGTAAATGAAGGTAGATATGACCTTGGAACGTGTCAAGTCTCTGACTTACGCACCCTTAAGGTGAAAAAAAAAACATGGAGCACAACTACGCGGGCTGAGGAAATGTGCGAAGTTTATGCTTCTTCTTCAATCTGTTCGTACGTTGGGTCTTCTCTGTCACCGGCCAGAGAATGTCGCCAATCCGCTCTATTTGAACCATATCGATCCAGGACTAATTGTGTTCTTGCATACCATCTAGAGCTGGGAGAAAAAAGCAAAGGCTTTGTGTGTTTTAAATTTGATCGAAGACAAGGCACGGTTCTTACGAATGTATTTACTATAAAAAGTGCACTGCTGGGCTCACCCGGGTGGGTCCATCGGGACCGCGGTATACCCCTTGACCGAACCCGGCGCCGCGGTGGGGCCGTCGTGTTGATGCCAGCTCTGCGAGGTGAGACTGCGCTACTCAGGACCGACATCGCGGCCTGCAGGTTCGAGCAGTCGAGTTTCAGCCATGGTGATTATAACACCGGACGTCGCCGAGAGCCAAATTTCGCGTCGATTCTACGGACTCGTGGATAGACATCTCGAACTGCCCCCCCCCCCCTGCCCGCGGCCCCTGCATCACATAATCTGAGCTGATCTTCACAGCGTGCAACGTCCAACGCCCACCTTCACACCTCGTTTGCAAAAAGCAACACAGATAGCTCGGTCTGACCGATCAAAGTAAACCTCCCAGATAAGTCTGGCGCCCAGCCAAACTCGGAATGGCGGAACAACCACAAGCACGAGATCTCAGCGAGTTGTCAGCGCATTTCCGCAGCGCTTTGCAAGACCTCACACACGAATGGGGCTTTGTCGTCGTCCGCACCGCTTACGTCGCCGACAGTGACGAAGCGCAATGGGCTGCCGCCTTGAAGAAGCTGCGCGCCTACGCGACTCCGGCCGACGACGACGCCGCCGAGATGGGCCCGGATACCTTTGCCCTGCCCGTCATAGCCGACAGCACCGTCCTGAGCGGCGCCGATTACGCCTCTGTGCGCAAGGCTTTCAACGGGTGGGTTGAGGATTTCGTTCGCCGCAAGAGTTCGTCAAACGATGATGATGACGACGAAGACGAGGGTGGACAGTGGCCGTCCGACGTTCGCCGTGACGCCTTCATCCTCATCGACGAGCCAGTGCTCACTTCGCTACTCGATGCACCAGCCTTCATCCCCGGCAAGGCCCCAAACCTCGACCTGGAGCCGTGGGTCGTCGCAGTCGACGCAAAGGACCCGGCAAGCGTGCCGTACGGCGGGGGAGGGCCGTACATGGGCTTCACGAGGTCGCGCGTGCGTGTTCTGGGTCAGCTATGGGAGGACCTCGGCTCGCGATCTCTGGCGAAGTTGAGTCCTGTTCGAGAGTACGACGGCCAGATCCCGCTTTATGACGGTTCTTCGCGGGGTAAACTCGTCGATCCTGCTGGTGGGCTGGAGTGGCGGTTCAAGTTCCCACGGGGTACGCCGCGAGGAGCGGATGGCACAAGGGCCGTGTTAGAGGAGATTGAGCGAGGTGTTGGCAGAGCGGATTGTTCAGGGAGTTGAGTTTCAACACGAGGGGTGGCTTTCGGGCTGCCGAAGACTGGATCAAGAGGCTTTGCGACGCAGAGACGGAAACCGTCGTTGCTCTCATTGTCCTACATTTACGAATCATACCGAGGTTGACAGCCGACATGTTCCATCAGATTAATGGGTACAGCTTACGAGAGTCAAATTTCAGTCCTATGGAAGGAGTGCTGCGATTCGCTTGCACGCCTCATTCGATGGCGAGTGTAAAACAGGTTCAAGCGCTTGGAAGAGTTCCAGCAGCCGTACGAAGGCTTCGACTATCATACGGACTTAGCAAGAAGAGGAGAAAGCTTGGATGTGCTACTAGTATTCCGAGCTCCTTGTCTTAAAGAAAGCTTCGCTTAAGCTTAGTCGTTCAGAGCCAGGACCTCAAGTCACATCGTTCAGTTCTTGGTCACCTATAGTATCGTCACAATCTCTCACGAACCTCGTTTTACGACGAGCACCACATCAGCGGAAAGTTTCCTGTCGCAATTGCTAGCCTGAATGTAGAATTTGGAGGTCTTCCGACTAAACCTGTATCGGCCAGTAGATCAAGAGATTTTCGACAGCCAGTTCATCTGCCAAGCACTGAGGCCTTGCCGCAAGGTTTCTCCGCCATCTGACTATCATTTGGGAAGCATGCAGCGACTTTTGCGTGTTTGAGATACCACCCCTTCCAGTCCCTTTCTAATATTCTGTAATGGAGAGTAATGAAGCGACTACCAGCGCCTTAGCGGACGGTGACATGTAACTGCAAGACACCCTTCCCTCGACTTTGGAAAGCCTCGTACTTTTACAAGAAATAGTTGACATTGACGCTTCTTGGGAGGAGGTACTGCCTCCGGTATTGGAAGAGTTCCCTATCATGTCCCAGATGTCAATGCCATACTACATGATGAGTGTGTGGATTGGTCTTTGGGGGCCATCCGTTAAGGATGAACGAGCAAGACAGGATTCGGGACAAAGTTTCAGCGAGCGTATGGACCTGATGTTTCTTTCTCTAACCTATGATAGAAGGGGCCAAACCGATTCCATACCAGAGACGCCTCGTCTTAGAATTTGATCTATAGTCATGAATTATATCTGATAGATCTGTATGTAGACTATCGTGGGTGAAAGCTATGATTCTGCTCCGCCATATAAAGAAAAAAGAGGTCTTCAACTCTTCAAAATTTCCAGCAGAGTCTAAAAGAGTCCCGGAGAAGGCAGAGTTGCACGCTGCCCTGCTCAAGCTTACCTGGCCCGTTCATCGACGGGGTCGCAAGAAGAAGGTAAACATAGCCAAGAGAAAAACAGTTGGCAATCTCGCATAGAAAATGTCTACAATTAATGCGGTGGCATGAGGAGTAATCTCATCCAAGCCCTTCTTTTCAAAAACCCTAGCGAGTCGCCATGTCCAGGTAGCGGTGGTTAGGAGTAAATTGCCCCACAACCATGGTCCTCCCTAGGTCAAGAGGTCAGTCATTTCTATTCAGTTCTCTAATGAAGGAAGAAGAAAGTATCTCACCACTGATTGAAACGGTACACATAACAAAAGCCCTATAAAGAAGAGCAGGATTTTGATCATGCCATCTGAAGCAAGGTCTTGCGATGCAAGGCGTACGTCCCCCGCTCCTGGCAGCCCCAAGACATGGTATTGCTTCATAACCGAAATTGATATCTGGATCCCGACGACGCCTAACGCCATCATCCAACCGAGCGCGTGAGAGCCTTGACGTAAGATGAACCAGAGGCTTCGTACTTGTTGCCTTTCTCCGGGCTGACCCCAGAATAGGAGGCCTAGTTCTCCAACGAGTAACAGAACGCCTGCATGTACCAGTGACAGGAAGAATCCATCAATAGACTCGAGGTATCCATAGGCGTTATAGTATGATTCTGAAACGTCACACTTCTGTCGAGCTATCCAGAGAATTGAGCAAGCCTTGGAGATGGAAACCGTAAGATCACTGATCAATCCAGGGGGTGAGCTTCCGATCCATGACTTTCTACTAAGACACCCCAGCTTATGTTTGACATGCAATAAAACTACCAGTTACTTACATGACTAAGAGACGTTCGAGTGCCCAGAGCATTCGTCTTGCTTGTCTAGTGGCCTTTTTCTTCTTTCCTATCTCCGCCCAGGATGTCTTAAACAGCTTGAAGACGGATACGCAGAGTAAAATGAAGTTCATTGTGATTATTAAGAGTGGAATCCTTTGATATTGATGCCATAGTCGGGAGTTCCGAGCAGCCAACGAGGCGACTTTTCCAGCGGCGCATAGTAAAGCTGCGTCGGCATCGGAACTACCGATAGGCGGATTTGACCTATTCATTTTTATGATATCCTGGATTTTCGTAGGGTGTTGCTCTTTTCAATTGCTAAAAAGAGGGTGTTCTGCTCCTAGTTGTATGCTCTGGCCCCCTACGGCCATTTGCAAGGGTTTTGGCATTTGACGTCACCTCGCAGTGCCAATGATGACTTGCATCCTGAACCTGCGGACAATGTCACTTTCGTAAAACCCAATTATGGTTAAGCATGTAAAGTTCTAAGCGACACTTCATGCTTGTGGAACGTGGTCTTCATCTATTGGGTGTGGTGTCTCGAGGACTGCACGACCTTGCCTCTTGTGATGGCATAAAAAGGAACGTCGTCAACATACCGTCCTGGAAGAAAATTGACCCAGTCTTTGTTTAAACTGAGCTTGGTCTTGGGACGCTAGCTAACTGACGTGGGCATGCTTGAATGATGTATTGATTGATACCAAAATGGATTCCAAGGAAGCCCTATGATTAGGTGCCGGCTCGGTCACAGGTTCGGGATCATAATCGGAACCGATGTCGTTGATAGACGTGTTTCTTAGCTCGGGGTTATGACTAAGGCTATGCTTCAATCTTAAATCTATAGAATACTCTTCGTGGGATACTAGAGTAAGTATAAGGAGGCATTTAAGCCCCACCACCACATCATACAATGGGTTAGGTAACTCGTGTTTCTTAGCACTCCTCGTCACTCTACAGTCGGCATGGCCCGGTCGAAGAGACTGAATACATGGCTTGCCTACCCATAAAGCTCCACTGCGGCGGGCTGTTCCCCTAGGTTTCGGGGCATCAAGAATCTTTCCTTGATCAGGTCTCTTACACGGAGTCACACCAAATTCGGGACTAACAGCTACTGTAAGGATATTCTACATCGCATCTTAGTACGTTCAGGCATGGCATAACAAAGATATCTAGCTCACGGCCTGGTTTCGGGTATAAATTTAGGCTGTATGCACTATTGCGAACCGACCCTTGGAGAAAGCGAGGTCAAGTACATATCTACGATCCCGGGTTGCAACCCCAACCTCGTCGATAGAGCCAAGGCTATAATCTTGTACTCATCTCACGATGTGATCTGCATTAGTCCCGTGATTCTTGCCAGGCTCCCTTGAATACATGTAGTGGTGAGACTCACAAGCTGTAGTAGATCCCTGGAACGATGATTGAGCAGACGGGCGAGGGAGGAAAAGTATGGTGTTCCGTGTTATTGAAAGCAATACGAGGCTCTGCAGCGCCTTGAATGTTATTTATCTGAGAGGCATTACATGAGCTGGTGAATCAGTGGGCTTTTATTCTCCCACGACAATGTGTGTGTAACACTCAGTGTCGTTGCACCGCGCATGATGCCGTCTGGACGCCTCTTCGCCGTGGCGCCCCTAAACGTTCAGAGTTCCTGGACAAATGACTTCAAGTTTCTGCTGGAATCTCGAGTCTCGGTACTTCTTGATTCAAAAGCAGGCGGTGAAGTGCCGAGGAATGCAGATATCTCACAAAATTTGACGGTCCCTCCTGTGCGACGGTAAGCCATCCTCCAAGCGTCCGGACCATATCTGAATCTTGAAATCAGAAGGGACGGAGAAAGAAGTCTTATCTAGACTTCTTGCAATAACGATGACAGTGGGAAGAAACCGCGCGATTAATGCAGTCCACGTAGATCAGTACATACATTGACGAAAGCTTTGTTTGCGTGTCCCCCAAAGCTTGCATGGTTGGCGACAGCAGGATGAGTAGAGCATCTTTGGATCAAGGACCAGTCATTACGTTGTCAACTACACGGTACACGGTGATCAAATCACCGGTATGCTTCATTAGACAGCAAGTGCACGATACCCCTTCTCCGAGAGCTATTCGCCACGGGCAACAAGTATCCATCCGATGCTCCCCAACCAAATACACGACGAGCCCATATCTGCCCCTTCAGCCTCATCGATAGGCTAAGAGTTCGAGCTCGCGTGCGATCCCAGCATGAGCGCCATGATAATCGCCAAGAGATGCAGCCATACCGGTGATGAACATTTTGGGGGGATTTTTTACTGATAGCAGTAGCATCGCGGGACCTCTTCCTCGTTATGTGATAGAGGTAGCTCTGAGCCCAGCTCCTCGAAGACGGTATTCTCATTAGCACGTCGCTCATATGGCTCGAGACAATCTTTCTGCTATTGTCCCAGCACGTCATAAAAGCCGGATTTTCTGCCCGGGTCTTCTTGCACTTATAAGGAAATATAGTTGACATGGTAGGAAAAACTACTTTGGTGGTTTTGTAACATTTGTTAGAACAAAGAGACGTCCACGTTGTTGATGTCTACGTACGAGACCTGCCGAGAGAGGGCAGGAAATGATGGAAATTAGTAACTTGTGGGAAGAGATACTTGGGACACGAGTCTCTCAAGGAATCCAAACGTGTGTTTTGTTTGGTTCTGAATTCTTGAAACTTGCCAAATGAAGTGTGGAAATGGCTTTCGAGGCAGGGCAATATCAGTGAGCAACACAAGAAACACAATTTCATACAAAGCCTTTTCGATATGAAACCCTCATGATTATAACTCAAGAGTCCCGCATACACCTCTATTGACAACATCTACGAGATGTTCCACGTTGAGGGCTGGGCCAAGCTTCAGGTGAATACTCTCGTTTGAGCCCTCTTTATCCGGCCTTACCTACCTTGCGGTCCCACAATCAACGAGACCTGATGCTGGTAGTCATAATATTTCCATTATCTATTATACTGAGAAGCTGTGGTGTGCACTTCAGCCTCTAGCCTTCCCCTAAGGTGCCAAACATCGAGTCAACATCAGCTCAAACCTCACCCTCAACTACCACATACGACCATACCCATTGGAAAACTCGGGATCCCGTCCGCTCTCCCATAGATAAGCCAATGAGGGCCGGATTAGTAGTTGGGTCGGTGACGACCAGCGAATACCTGGTGTTGTATGTTTTTGAAGTTTTTGTGATGTTTCGTGGAGTTTTGGCGAAGGTGTGGATGCGTGGGCTTAACGCAGTGGGGGACGGCGGACTAGCTCAATTATTCCACGTTGTGCTGATCCTCGATGACCCACTAGACTCTGAAAGGACTTGGAGGAGCGAGCAGCGAGTATATGCCGGGTTATTTCTCTAGATTTGATGTCAGTATTGGCTAGTGTGAGTTAGATCGGTCTCCTTGACAATGGGCGTTGACATTGACTTGGAGGTAGCGTCGGAAATGGCCGGGTAGGCAAATGCCTGGTTTCCCCAGACAGTATTATGCTTTTTGTTCTCTTGGGTCCATAGGATAGAGATGAGTTCGAGCTCTATGCGAGCGAATGCGAGAGGGTTGGCTGTCATAATAACCTCCGAGTCCCTTCCTCTTTTCTCGTCTATCAAAGATTCGCGGCCACATCAAACACCCAAATTTCTCACGGGGAGCCGCATATCGTTTCAAAAATGTTATTTTAGTAGCAAAGCAATAATATGGCTGACCGAAAGAATTCCAGATCTGAATGTACGAGCCAGGAGTAGTTGTACCCGTTTGACATTGAGATACCTGCCTCCCAAGCTTTCCACAATCCACCCTCTTCGAATGCTCTTTCCCTTAACTCGCCCAAGAAATAAAATGAAAATCCACGACACTCAAACATCTCGTGACATCAAAAGTAACCAAAGCCAAGCACTTGACAACCTTTTCCTCTTCTCACATGTTGACAACAAGGCCCATTCCGCCAAGCATGACGCCAAGGGCAACAGCCGCAGTCTCTCTGGGACCGGCGTTCTTGCTGTGAGTGGTAGTCGAAGTCGCCTTGGCGGATGCTGAGTTGCTCTTCGTGGCAGCGGCTTTGACGCTGCCCGTCGTCGTGCTGGCGTGGGGAGTAGTAGTGGCCTATTAGTAGGAAGGGACATGGTTAGTTTACTTTTGTTCTGCTGGAAGAATACCAAGGTGGGTGCAAGAAACTCGAGGGAGGTATTTACAAGGGCCACTGTCGTCATGGCGAGGAGAGCGGCGAGAGAGAAACGCATTTTGGGCTAGTAAGACGGAGGCGGGAGATGAGAGTGTGGTTTGAGGGGTTGTAGTATTGATGAGATGGAGTTGTATGTAGTTCAAGGCGGTCTGTATGTTTCTGAGGCTGTGAGAAATGTAAGGGCGGATCTGAACATGAAGATAGATTTTGTTCGGGGTCTTATATAAGATATGTAGACAAAGAAATGTTTTACCGCACACACGAGCATGAAGCAGATTTACCCAACACAATACTAACCGCATCTAAAAATAACCCACCTGAACATCACGACTCCTCAAGACATTACCAAAAGGGGGCTTTACCGCCGTGCCTGGCAAATGATGAAGGCTGATCATGACGCCGTTTCCTGTCTCTCCAAGACAAGGAATCCCACCGGAAGTGTCTGCCTGATTCTATTTGGTCGAATCAGGAAACATCTACATGTTTTTGATGTATGCTTCGAGGTCCGGCTAGCCAGGATTGGCAGGGTAGTATTGATTTGATGGAGGCTATGTGTGGTACTGTTATGAAGCTTGTATGAAGCTTGTTCAAACTGCACGCAAGTTACAGAACGGTAGTTTCCCCGGGGCGGGTCACACAAGGACGATCTAGACCGACTTTGGAAGGGCAGGTGAGTGGAAGTCATGCCCCGAGGGGCCCGAACGAGGCGAAGCAGCCTTCGGTTTCTTGCTCGCGGCTTCTCGGTTGGAACTACTTGCTCGCTCGCCATGCGGACTTTCACATCGGCTCTAGATGCCGAACTCAGGGGGAGCCGAGGGAAAGACATGAGATGAAATGCTTAGCCTTTCATGATTCGAGTTGATGGATATGGCTTTTCACAAGGGGCGAGTTGATGGGCCGGTAGATCAAGACAACTATCAGATGACACAGCTAGCGAAGGAGAGTCGGCTTCTCACGCCTCAGATGCTTTCTTGAAACATTTGTTTGAAAACACGTTCAACGGCGCGAGGAGCTGTATAGGGCAGCAAGTGAAACAAGTTCCAGTCATGATGGTTTCCAGTCAATTTGGCCTAGTCTCTAGACTGAAGTAATGTTTCCTCGGAGAATACTTCGTGCCAGTTGCGGTTGTTGCTCGGACTGCAGTAGCACTCCGACAGGTGCCCGGGGCGGGGGCCGCGGGGGGCGCTTCTAGACTTCTTCGTATAGAAAGGAGCAACTTAACTAGTCCTTCATGCTACCGTTTCGTAGAATGTCGTGCTGCTATATTAAGCATCGCATTCCAGGTCGGTAATTATCACTTCTCGTGACGTTGCTAAAAGTTGTGGCCTGTTTATCGTGGATGTCGTTGATGAAGAACGCAGACTCTTAGTTGCACAGTTCGTTGAGGTAATTGGAGTCTGAGTGCACGAGGTTCAGCTTCCCAACACTGCCTCGTTTATGACGAGAAGTCAACGGACTCTGCATTTACGGTTTGATGATCGATTTTCTAGTGCAATTTAGTGTGACGGTGATATGAAGTTGGATGGGCAAAGGCCACCATTCAAGATTCGCCCCTCAACCTCTCTCGCGCACAACTTCGCAGGGGCAACGTGGGCAAGGTCCATTTGGTGTTGAGCAGAAAAAACATCGTGGAACGGCTTGCATGTTTCAAAAAGGGAACCAAAGACAAATGGACGGAAATGAGTAGCAGACTTGCGTCCCTGAGAATGACACTTCTTACACCAACACTGGTCGTTCGAATACACCAAGATGGACAAAGTACGTGTATAGAGGTTTGAATTGACTTTCCCCAAAAGGACAAGAGCAAGAAAAGGCGAGCGGCGCCAAAAACAGAATCCCCACGCCAAGCTGCCAGGATTCAGGAACAGAACCAACCGGCCGGCCGGGATCGCTCGCATCTGGATTGTCTTGGCGGCGTTCATCCCACCCGCCAAGGGGGAAGTAAAAAAACAAAACCAAAGGTAGGTAAGGTAAGCAAAGCACGTGAACTTCCTGTCATCTTCGCGCCATTCTGACTGTGCCCACCCCCACCAATATACCTGACCTTGAACCACAGACGCGTCACGTCTCCCCGTCCTTGGACAGATCCCAGCCGCTAATCTTCACTTAAACACCACCGCAATCGCATCGCATCGCATCGCATCACGAACTTAGGCAAGCAACAATCCCATCATCTCTCAACAACCCACCCACTCCGCACAAAATGTCCGCTCCAGAACAAGACCAGCCACAACCCTCACAATCGATAAAGGAATCATCACCACAGATCCAATCGCAAGACCACGCCGTCCAACACCAACCCGGGACCGAATCGCATCCGGGCGGCGCATCCTCAACAACAACAACAACATCACCAGCACCAGAAGCACCCTCAGCGACAACAGCGCAACCATCACAAGACCCATCACAACAAGTGCAACAAACACAACCACAACAGTCACAACAACGACAACCGCCCGCCTCCCCTCCCCTCCCCCAAAAACACACCCCCGCGACCCCCGGCCCCCGCGCGGGACGCTTCATCCAGCTCTACGACGGCGCCCTCGCCAGCACCCTCCGCAAAGTAAACTACGACAACTTTGCCTCGTGCTTCCCCACCGTCGCCGCCCACGCGCCGAATACCCTGCGCAACGTCCAGAAGCAAATGGTGGATTACCTCGAGGAGAGGTGTAACGTACGTTTAGGCCGTCTTGTCATACCCTCTTTTCCGCGGAGGAAATAAGAAGAAGAAGAATAGCATGCTGATGTTCCTACCACCTCTGTAGAAAGACTTCCAATCGATCCTCGGCGAACGAGACGTCATCCGCAAACTAAACGAGCTAGAAAACCTCGTCAGCGACGCGGACCGCAGGAGACAAGAAGGCGGCAGCGACGTCGAAGAACCCATCCCGTACGTCACCTCCCCCCCCTCCCCCCTCCTTTTTCCTCGATACAGTAGAGATACATCAGAGACATATAAAAACTAACACCAAAACCACACAAACAGCCCACACGTCCTCCCCCCCGACGAAATCCTGACAGCCCACCTCGCCCCGCGCCTCGCCCCGCAACAATCGACCCTCAACGCCCGCCTCCAAAACACCCAGGCCTCGAACGAATCCCTCTTTTCCTCCATCCAGTCCCAGCGCGCCGAGATTGACGCCCTCCTCGCCCAGCTCGAGAGCCAGGTCGCCGATATCGATGGCGCCAACGCGTTGCTCGTGGACGTGGCGCCCGAACTGGCGGCGGAGGCGCGGGCTTCCGAGGTGGAGATGGCGGGTATGTGAGGATAGACAGAGAGCGATGGGGGAGGGAAGGGGGGAAGGGAGAAATAGGAAAGAGATGGTAGGAAGGGGGGAGAGGTTTACGTTGTAAGAAGAAAAAAGTACGCAACCTGACGTTGGACGATATTCATGAGATGTTGTTGAAAAAAAAAGTTCGGAGTACGGCTAGGGATATGGTTGCTTTTCTCAATGCACGAGATACCATTTTGATTTACATAGGCCATGAATTGGCTTTGGGTTTATATGCTCACCCTGAGTTTCTCCAAAATTACTCCTGTTGCCACAGGGCTGAAGCACTCGTGAACAAAGCCAAAAGCTTGCGAAACGACCTGGTTCCTTTTACGTTCTTTGCCATCCTGGTCAAACGACATTCTCAACATGGCACTCTCACAAGATTTAAGCTTACGTCCGTTCCGAGACATGTTGTTAACATTCAGTATATTCAAGTCGACCAGACTATGCCTCGGCCATGACCAATGGGAAGTTTCCTTCAGGGTCCCCCATCGTTAACGGGTTTGTTCGGTGCCAAGGCTTTCGCAATGCCAGCGCTGAATACTCCATGCCACAAAAAAAAGAAAGCAAAAGGACGACAATGAAATTTGGGGCAGCGAGGATTGCCTCGCTGCCCTGACAACTCCGCCCAATGATGATATGCTTGGCGCAAAGCTATGCTCTCGCTCTCTCTCTCTCTCTCTCTCTCGTCCGCCATGAAAGACAAAGGAGACCAAGGACAATGTTGAGAGGAATGGAGATGGAAGTAGGAAGGAAGAAAGAAAGAAAGAAAGAGCCAACCAAATGCATATGCCGCGCCGTCCCGCCCGATTTTTGTTTTGGTCGCCGTACCGACCGACCACCCAGCCTCTGGGTAATGTATGGTGAAAATCCGTATCGTTCGAATCTTGCGATTCTTCCTCGTGTCGATGCAAAAGAAAGGCCCTCGTCATTGACGAGGGCACGGGGTATGTATATGTGCAGTAGAAGTGAGGGAGAAACAACGATCCATCTTAAATCCTCCTGTTTTCCGTGTGGATGACTTGCCAAGGGCCGAAGAAATCAATCTCGCCGTAGGCTGGCGGCAGTACGCGCACCATGCGACCTGTTGCCCAATCCACAAACCATCGCTTGCCCTTGCTGATGATGTAATTTGACTTTCGGGGGCTCTTGAACAGGAGAACAGAGTAGCAAAGCTTGGCGTAAAGCAGATCGTGGGCCGCACTCCATTGGTGCTCGGGCGCCCATTTTCCAGTGTCAGGGTCGATGGCCTCGTTGGGATACGATGTTGTCGACAAGCGGCTGCTGATCAGCTCGTTCCTCCCGGGTCCGGGACCGTAAATAGACTCGCTGTCTAATACGTTGGTCTCGCCGCGCTCGTTGACGACGGCCTGGTGAACGAGACCCTCTATAGTCGATGATGCTGGGAAGGGATCGGGTGCCTCGGCAGAGGCCACGCGGCGGAGTTCAGGACTCAGTGGTCTTGGCGTCGGTACGGGGTAGTTGTTCGTCGGTGCTGGTGTCTGGCCACGGAACCAGCGGATTCGTTGAATGCGGGGAATGCTTTGGTCGCGGGGATAGTCACGATCATCGATGGGAGCGGCAACATCGATGGCGGCGAAGAGAGCCTCCAACCACCTGACCATCGTGCTTAATTCTATACAGGATAGAAGGAACTGATCCTCCTCGGCCCTTACTCGAATGACATATCGCCTCCTAGGTGGGAGTCAGTCTCTTGGCAGGTCTTGGCATGGAATGAGGCTGAGAATCGAGGCAACCTACTTCTTGTAATCGGCAGCAATACCAATATCGGCGTGCTGAAGACTGTACGCTCTGTCGAGAGAAGCCTTTCGCACCCACGGCGGGTTGTCGGGCGAGATGGTCGGTCCGTCTCTCGTCCTGCCCCATCCCCAATCCTTCTTCACGTTGTAAAAGTTCAATGCAGTGCCTCGTAGTTGTACGATAGTGGTGTGCCAATTTCTGTCCTCTGCCCGTTTGGTTGTGTTTTCAATTTCCATCTTCTTCACCCATACACCCTCCAACTCGATGTCGCACGAATAGCCTGGCAAGTCCTCCCCAACTCCATGTTGTGAGTTGACCCTGGGTGCCACCGGTCGTCTTGGTTTAGCATCTCGCTCATATGGTGGCGGCAGTGATGGTCGTCGGAAAGGGGAAGTCATGACTTCCTGGTAGAAATAATCCTCCTCCATCGATAGTCGCCGCCGGAGAGGCGGCGGCTGCGCAGCGGTATTAGATGGTCCATTTCCGCCGTCCTCGCTGCGGGGATCCATGGGGCAGATGAGGTTTTATATGACAGGAGACGAGTGAGCCGGCAACAGACGAGTCGTGTCAGGCCAGGACCACCATGCGGCGGGTGGCAGCGGAGGCAGAGGCCCGTTCCCGTGCGTCTGTCTCGGACGGATTCCCTGGAACGAGGGATTCACGAGATGTGCTTGGCCCGGGGGTTATGCTGACCCGCAAAACTTCATGGTGAGGGCCTTTTGTCGGCGGCTCTTTCTTAGGGCCGCACGGGGCAGAGTAACGTAAAACAAATGCAAAGGGGCCCTGGGACGAGACCGGTAGATGAGATGAGATCGGGGAGTGGATTAGGTCCAGTCAGGTACGAATGCGTAGGTATGGAGAAGGACTGGAGACCTCGGTGGTGTGGATGTGTGTGTGTGTGGTGGTGAGAAGGTGGTTGAAGGATGGAGTGATGTGCCGAGAAGCGAGAAAGCGGTGGCAATGGAGCGACGGGTCCAAGTAATAGGCCTGGTTCCAATGACCGGGCGTAGGAATAGTATCCGGTTCCTGGGGCGAGCGAGGTGCGAGACAAGCACGATGAGCAAGCACAGGAAGCACAGATGGGAGGAGGAGCCTGGAGTGATGATTGTGGAGGAAGCAGACGAGATGGGATGGGAGGTCAAGGTTGCAACGGGCTGGCGGGAGGAGTGAAGCGAAACGGGAGGCGTCGAGTCATCGGGTGGTGCCAGCGCAAAGAAGAGCCGCTTAACAAGGTTGGACTGAATAGGAAGCCCGATGATGAAAGCAGTACAAGCCGGATATGAGGGAACCGATTCCCGTGCAGGGCCGAAGAAGAGGCGCGAGAGGTTGGAGACGATGTCCGGGACCGCGCAGCAAGGGCAGTTCGTCTGTGTTGAAGGACCAGGGCCGCAAGGGGGACTTGGCTCTGGGGGCGGATCTCATGCGCATCGGACGTCGGGTCAGGCCAGGACAGGGCTCGTTGAAGAGCGGCGGGTGGGAACGTGTTTGCGTAGCTGACAAGGACGGCGTGATATGGCGAAAGAATAGGGTAACAGAAACCAAAGGTGAGTGAAGACCATGTACGGTAATTGGTGTGTTCCTGGGGGTGCCACCGCGCGACTTGTGGTGATCAGAGAAGGATGGATGGACGGATGGGACCTGGTTGATGGGTGTGGAGGCGTGTGTCGAGCGGAAGTTGAACAGGACCCCCAAGCAAGGTCGAGAGAACGGTCACGTTCAACGGGGAATGTACTGTGTATGCGTACGGGGTTCACCGTTGGTAGATGTGAAGTCCAGGTTGCAAAGGGTAAGACGGGTGTGTCTTTTTCCCGCTTTCTTTTCGAACTTCAAAAGGTCGAACGAAGTGCGCGCTACAATCGGTCCCTGTCGGGATTTTTGCAGGTGTTGGGTGATTCGATAATGGAGAATTGGAGAGTAAAGAGGAGAGATGGAGGCTCGGATTCTGGCCGGGCGGTAGGCGTGAATGTAGTGTATCGATCAGCCAAGGTGCGATTCAATTAATGATCCGAAGGTACGTATATCCATCCACTGCCAGGACTCAATGTGATGCTGTAGCGATATCCGTACTTGGTACGCGTACCCTTGATATGTACCTCGGCGCGATTTGGCAAATGGGCAGACTCTTTGTCGGATTGCTTGGAATGATGATTTGCAGTTTGGCGCTTCTACCGTACTGATGAAAAGTATGGTGTTCCATTCAGAGGGTGAGCAGCAAGCAGCAGCGGCGGCTAGCAAACGGAAACGCAGGCCGTCGGCTTGCGAGGTTGAGGCAGGCGTGGCAGGTCGGCAGAGCAGGGGCAGATGAACGAGGGGGATGAAAGCAGCAGGGTGGTCGTGAGTCCAGAATAGGGACAAGGAACCGGCCTCGAAGCAAATGGCAGACAGGCTCGAGTAAGAATTAGGGCGAGTTCGGTGCCGATGATCGTCAAGACGAACACCCAGCGGGCAGTGGCCCACGAGTAATTCCTGAAACCTAAGTGGTGAGTGGCCAGCGGTTCATCCGTCTAGCAAGCCGCAACCTAACATTACGGATACTGCGTAAGGTCCTGTGGTAGTGAAGGAAAAATAGAAAAAGGGCCCTTTGGTGCAAATGTATGGTGGTCCTGGTCAGTGGTGGATGTGGATGTGGGAAGCAAGAACAGCGCCGAGTGGACCGAGGCCTTTTGTAGACATGTCTAACCCGTTTGGGGAGGTGAAAGACATGCGGCGACCGGGGTGGCGCGGACTCGAGGTACTTTTTTTTCCCCTTGACCTGTGCTAGACTGCTAGTAGGCCACCCAGCTTTTTCATCTTTTGATCTTTTGATGGACGGTATAATGGCAATGCTACCTCCCATTGTGCCTAGACCCAGCAGCACGGCAGGGTATCTTTGTATTCGGAGACAAGAGGGACAGAGGTTGGGTTTCCCCGTAGGTCAACGTCCTCTAGCACTGTCATTTGCATTGCAACCTTGGAGATTGGCCGCCATAGCACAACGGGCGCTTGTAATCCTGTCAGAGTCTGGCAGTGACTGTCCACCGAGAGACAGAATAGAGGAGCGAAGTAAAGCAACCTGAAGGCAAGAGAAAAGATTAAGTGGCCGGTGAAGACGGAAAGCTTCAAACGCAATGTATCTATCTGATGCAAGGAATGGCGCCCTCGTCTCCAACGTTCTAGATTGGTGCCGGGCAGGCAAGCAAGGACTAGACGGGAAGGAAGTTGATGACCCAAAGTACCAATGTACCTTACCGTACGTACTAAGGTAAACAAAGTACCTTCCTTACCATGGGACCTACCTTAAGGTATGGAAGACGGGAGAGAGAGTTGCAGCGCCAGAAGGCCCGGGTGCAAAATGCTTGAATTCTGCCGAATATCAACCTGCCCGCTTAAGCCTTAGCAAAGTTTCGAGGTACCTTGCTCCATAGGTACTGTGTATGAAGAAAGGTATGCAAAAGTTAGGATGTGAGGCAGGTGCTTACCTTACCTAGCGAATCCCATCCTCCGTTTCACCCTTGGACAAGTTGCCGGCGAGGTACCAAATGGAAGCCACGACAGAAGGTCAGCTGAATGAATGCCTTTCTCAATGGCACCAATTACGGCATTACGGCACAGAAAGGCGGGGGCCTAGGCCGGCGTGGACCCTCCCTCCGTACCTGCTTCCATTCTCAGTCAGAAGTCTCCCGTCAACTTCCAAAGTTCTCAAGTTCCCACCGCTTGAGTCGGACGCGACCCGACCTTACCTTACCTTGCACCACCTAACAGGCTAACACCAACACCAAGCCTTGTTCCTTCTTTCTACTCCGTACTATAGGTAGCTTAACTCTCTCAACCATGGAGCAGGCAGGTAGCATCCGTCATATTGCACCAGCGCCCATCAAGGTAAAGGCCAGGTCAGGCGTCGCAACTCGGCCTCAACTCCGGCAACAACGTCTCTCTAGTCTTCCAACAGAGGAAGGTAGGCTCTCTAGGGAGGCCCTTTGCATACAATGTCCGCGTCATTCAATAACTGGGATTTTTCGGATATAGACAGAACAGAACTTGGTCGGCAACTGCCACTTGCTGACTGCTTGTGGAGCACTGGCCTCTGAGCTTCGTAAACCAAGTCCACCTTGGTTTAAGGTAAATTCTAAGGTAAATGTCAAGTGGATCGACGACCTGGGGGCCAGGTATCAGAACGTCACACAGTTCACTTACAGTACCGGAGCAAACCAGACACTCCTCACTCTTAGCATCCGTACTCAGGTCGAAAACCGCAGTTCACACGATTGAACAGAGCTTGCTTAGACGACGCGGCTTGGCATACTTCCCAAAAGAATCGTCTGAACAACTTACTTATGAGTTTAATAGGATGCTTCGTACGGGGATACAAACAATGGGATGAACGGGCTTGGCCGTCGACATGCCAGTGCTAAAACATGCCATACCACGCAGCACAAGCACCGCTACTTTGTACCCAACACCGCCCACCCACACACACTTTTTGTCTTGAGACCCAGACCAACACCAAAGGCCAAGACCAGGACGAAACAGGTCAGATATCCGCCACTGTGCCCGAGTCTACCCTCGTTGTCCACTGACCATCCCCCAGTCTCTCCATCCGTACCGTTCTCTTTGCCCTCCGGCCGCGCAATCAAGCATTTCTGCATAATCCATGTCGCCATGCTATCCCCCTAACGTTCGAATCGCCTGTCAATGTCATGGCCTGCCCTTCCGTCAACTATACCTCTCTTTCCGCCAACGCCGCCGCCCGCCCGCCGTCACTGTTTTTGCTGGCTCGGGATTCCTTGGCTCTGCACTGCAAGTCATTGATGGACGTCAACGGAGGGTTAGCACCGCCTAGCAGCAGAACGGGAACGCGGCCAAGCTCGACGCACATGGTGATCCTGTCCTCAAGTGGCTTAAACTCTCGAATCGGCCGAAAGAGGACTGTCTGTGTCCGCAGCTTGAATATCGTCCGCTGAAACGGAGGCAGCCACTAGCGTGTCCTTGAACCTACAACAAAGTGACCGTACCTTACCGTCCACTATTCCCGCGTACGCCCACCCGAAACATTGACGGCGGCGGGACACACCAGTGCTGTTTGCTGGCCTGGGCTTCGACGGGAAGAGTGGTGCATAAACGAAACGAGGAACGGCAAATGCCAAGAGCGGCGGCTGGCCCGAACCACCTACCACCCCTCGCGCACACACTCGCCTCTCCTCGCTTGAGCGCTTGTCCTACTGCAGTCTGCGAGTGCGCAGGGCGGAGTGTCCGTTTGGATGGACGCCCGATTATTGGCAAAAGTCCAAAGGATCTTTTGCGAGCGGATCCCACTCAGCCGTTCCCTCTTGCTAACACTAACTCGAATACATCCCCTGGTTCATCGCCTGTCGTTGGTCAGCCACCTGCCAGCCTACAGTACTTTCTCGAGCCAAGCATCAGCCGTGCAAGTTTGGGTAGAACAAATCGAACTTTTGCAGACGCGCCTCGTATATTGTGCTGCTGCCTTTGGAGCGGAGTAGTTTTCGCTTCGGCCCCGGTGCCCCAATGG